GCATCGATAGATATTTATAATAAAAGGCTATACTGTAATTAATTTCGATTTTCGATAATTTTTAGTTGGTACAGCTACGCTAGGTGCAACAGTTCAACTGGCTAATTTATATCATGGGCGTCGAATATTGTCAACTATACATACCTATATAGAGAAATAATATTAATATACTTACACACATACCTACATACTTACGTTTACTTATACGTGCTTCATACGAGATTCGAACGTAACCTTGTAACTTTAGCACACAGAGCGATCGTGGAACGCGCTTCAATTTTGATCGCCAACATGAGTGTCTCGCCACCCGACCAGAACCAGACCCGAGCATGCGGCGCGTCGCGTTCTGCGCGCGCCTCAAAGAGCCATTAGCCCACCACAGATGGGACCCAATAGGGCTGATGCCGATACGGAGCCGCGGAGGACTTAACGGGTTGCCAGGGCTCCGGATTAAAGGGCAGGAGTAGGAATGGGGTGGTTTTTAGTCAGTGAGAGTCTGACACTCCCTCCCGCCTCACCCAGGCGGGAGAAAGCATTCAATGATTTTCCCCCTTAAAAAAAGTATCCACCTGTGCTGTGGACCGTGACTTCGTGTTCTCCGAGGTCCGCTTCTGCTTGATTGCTTGCTTGCTGTGCTGCATGTATCTCGTTTCTGGACAGTAGTCAAAACGTACCAAACGTCTCTTGCGAGACGAGTACGAGTTTCTAACAGATGTCAAAAACGTACGTTTTCAAGACGGTTTGCTTAATTATTTCTTAGAACTGGGAGTCAAACATGAAGGTGTTGGTTGGTTTTTCACGAAGGTATGGTAATGGTAATAGCTGGTTCTGACGGAGGTAGTGTGAGGTATGGTGATTAAGCTATGGTAATGTATGTATGATGTCACTATAGTACGCATACGCACTGTAGTCGCTCGTAACACATAGAACCATCGCTTACCACCAGGCGAGATAGGTGCTAAACGTCAGCCTATCAAATAAATAAAAAAATAATAACGCGCGTACACACGCGTTTTTGAAATATCGAACATATTTTGAACCTACCTACAATAATTTTATAATTTTCGGGAATAATTAGGATAGCAAGAACTAGATGTGTTCTTGTTTCCCCTATACTTATTATACTCTTTGATTCTAGTCTTGATTGAAAAATGAGATATATCTGTAGCCCGATTCACGTAATAAAATCGTAGCTAAAAATGACGAAATTTTCGTAACTGTAATTTCGTATTTTGTGTGAGACTCAACAGTTATCCGGCACAATACTGCTATTCATGGATGCGCTAATATAATGCATGGGATTCATAATGTAACTGAAACTGAAAAGAGGATTCCTTTTCATAATGTAATATTCTGCTTCTTACAGCGTTAATACTAAGTGTTGGTAGGTCCAATTTGAAATTTGAAACCCATCACTATTCAAACTTCATAATAATATTCAATGTGCCATTTTATTCGTTTTATCCTGCTTGAAAAACTTAAATTTTCAGGTTCGTTATGAAGTTAATATTTTCAGCTATACAAGGAATGGTCTTTTCTGTTGAATTGTGGTTTTCTTTTCATCATCGATATATAAGCCACAAGAAATCCATAACTGAACATAGGCTACCCTAAACTGAAACCCTTTACTGGGTTTTAACATAATCTCAGTAGTAGCACGGAGTCTGGAATTGTCCCGGTATATGGCAATAGGCTCACCCCCTATTACATGGGACTCATAACATAAATACATGGGTGTTACATTGTACAGTGGCATAATGTGCACCTCTGCCTACCCCTTGGGGGATAAAAGGCGTGATGTTATGTTATGTTATGCTACCCTAAAATGTTTAAAACTTGGTGCTTATGGTACCTACTGCTCAGATATTAATGCGCATTCTTTTTCATAGACAGCTAGAAGGTAGGTTCCTACTGTAGTTTGTATAACAAAATAAAACGATTAAAGAGTTTTCTCCCATATCTTTTTATTCTAAATACATTAATATTCTTTAATTCAACTCAAATATTCATTTAAACTATTACAAGCTATTTTTTTTATTTTAAACATAAATAATAAGTAATGCAAATGACCAGCATTGCACACTTTAACTCGGTATTAATATTTAACTAGGTATTATCCAATCTTAGCGATAGTTCTCCATAGTGATAAAACATATACACAACACTGAAAACCTTTGGTGAAAACAAGTATCCTACAATTACTATTGATTATATAGACATGTCCGATGTAGTGAGGCAGCTGTACGCAGAGCTTTTAATTTCCTTTTCAATCGAACGTTCTTTGGTAGTAGAATCACGAGATACAATTAGCTCATTACAATACCAACTCCTCAGCACATCCGACATGTCACTATGGTTATACATTATACCATTTTATTGCATTAGATAGGCAATCAGATAATTCCATTGAAATAAGACATAATACAACGAGTACATTATCTAGATACCTATACAATCTGCTCATTTAACCTGTTTATTGTACACAGTTATTATAAAAGTAACGATTATGACAATTCGGTAGAGGTACAAGGCAGGTACATGCAGATGCTCACATTATGTGAATTACCAAAGATTGGGTACGTACGTTATACACAGATCTACTGCAGTACGATTATCAATATATTCAACACAATTAGTTACAAATACGTATGTTTTAATTAGAAAATTAATGATTCTAAGCGTAATGTTTCTATTTTATAACACACAAGTAGTTAAGCGTATCCAATTTTTAATGTAGTAGGTATGTATGTTTATATACGTTGACGTAGGTACCAAATATCTAAACTATGCAGTTTTAAAATCAGACACTTCGAAGATAGGCGATGCACACATGCTCGTAGTATTTGATCGCCGATAAAATCTTAATTTATCTACGAAAATAATGTACATTGGACCTTCCTTCTTGATGCTGATGAATGACAGAAACGATGACTTAGAAAATACTTTTCATAATAATACTAGGGGACATTATTCAATAATGATATAAATATAAAACAAGTGAAGTGTGAGGAACTACAATCATTTAATCAGTTTAAAACAAAATATCTTTTGAGTACATGAAGGAATAGAGACCAGCTCTTAACTTGTCCATTAAACATAAAAAGATGAATGATGAAATGCAAAAATAATACAGGTTTATTAAGTATTACACCCTCCTTATTATAGTATTGTAAATGTACCTACACGAAGTTTATATACGAGTATGTAGCTGAATGCTCAAGTGGCTATGTGCATGCTAATTGATATAACATTGTTACAAACATGAAAACTTTGCAACCGACGACAACATGAAACTGGATAAAATCTAGATTTTCCATCCAATGTACAATTTTCAGACATCTACTTATTTATATTACAATCTTTTAC